CAATTTTCTTTTATATTTCAGAATTTTTTAAAAATTTTAACTTTTCTTTTAACGTCGATGGTCTTTCGATAGTCGTTGAGTCTTATGTATCTTACGCTTAATTGCCTTTGTACTAAAAAGCAAATAAGTGCATGTTTTATTCCAATATTTTTTTTTTTTTTTTTTTTTTCGTTGTTGTTGATCATTACCAAATTCCAAGGTACTTGCCACTTATTCGTTGGTTCATAAATTTCAACGACAAAATTTTCATACTATTAGTGGCCATTAATTAAGAGATGGTCGGACCAATCAGTCGACCGAGGAAACAAGGATACCATAGCAAGAAAATTTGAATGCCGTTTTAAATGCGAGAGTATGATGAAATTTTACCTCTATAGCTTATCAATCGCCTCGCTAACCTCCTCTTTCTCGTTTATCTTTCTTTTTGCAGTGATGAGCACGAGCGAGGACTCCTACTCGGCCACGTCTACCGAACGCGGGAAAAGGTATCGTTGCCCCATGTGCAACAGGTCCTACATGGTGCAGCGCTCGTTACGTCGCCACATGCAGATCGAGTGCGGCAAGGATCCTCAGCACAAGTGTCCCTATTGCGATCACTGTACCAAGTACAGATCCAGTATAATCAAGCACATGATGTACATACATCCGGACTTGCCGCTGACTAGTTAGGGTAGGCCAGGTCGAAAGCTTCATTTTCAGAGACGTTGCTGCTACGACTTGGTAGGATTATTAATTTTTCGTTCCTGCGATAACGTTAGGGGGGGGGGGGGGGGGCTTTATTTTTCTATGCGCGTGGTTGCGCTCAAAGAGGAATTGAGGAATAGGGGATTGGGTTGTGGGTGGGACGAGTGGGATTTTCAGACTGTCATTACGATATTAACATATCCGAATAAATTCGAGACGATAAATTTTTCTCTATTAATGCGGTAATGTCATATTGCGATGCATAATAAACGTTGTGGGTTAAGGGTTACCGAATCTCCTAAGTAAAGAGAAATTTCGCTACGACTGTATAGTGGTATCGATTAAAATGTTTAGTAAGAATTATTGAATCGTATCGAAGCTATATTATAGATGTAGAATATCATAATGGAAATTGTTCGAAGGATGGTAGTTAGTTAGTTAGCGTCGTTACGCGTTGGACTTTTTTTTACATAGCCCTCACGTACTAGCAAACTAATATTGTTTAAAGTAAATTTTTGTATTTGATAAAACTATTTGACGATGGTGTCGCATCACCGATTGCCAATACGAATGATTATTGTAAATGCTCGAATATGTTAATTGTATGTTAATAAATTATATACGTAAAAATAATAGGTACATTATTTTCTATGTATGAGCACACGTGCAAGTCACCCACACAAACACGCGCGCACTCACACGCATTAAATTTCGATGAAAGTTTTATTATAATTAATGCCGACGGTTGGATTTCAAACATTGCAATCGCGCATTATTACGTCAATTTATTATTTAGTAAATCGACAATTTACCCTTTAATAAAGTATTTACTCTAGCCCCGTATCCCCTTCCCTCCATCGCACTTTTTCTTTTGTTATTCAGACGGCGTATTCACGGATAAATCGTAAAACATTGGATTTGTCATTAAAAACCACAGTCTTACCTATCGATCAATCCACAAACCGAGAGAGGGAGGGAGAGAGAGAGAGAGAGAGAGAGAGAGAGAGAGAGAGAGAGAGAGTGTGCGTGCGTGTGTGTGCGTGTGCGTGCGTGTGTGTGCGCGTGCGTGTGCGCGTGAGAGAGAGAGAGAGAGAGAGAGAGAGAGACGCTCGTAAGCTTGATTGGATGCATCAATTCGCAAATAATCCAATATTAAAAGCCAAAGTATCGCAGTCCCAATTGCACACGTGTCATGCACCAAAACACAAGTCATGCCGCCAAATCGCGCACACAAGTACATTCGCAAAACGGCGGCCCTCGTAGCTTTTTCCACGGATTGACCAGTGAAATCGTGTTTTTCGCAGGTGCTCATCATCATCCGAGGCAGCGAAGATCTCGCGGCTTGGGCCGATACGCGTGCGAGAACTGCGATCGGCGCTATTACGAGCTCAAGAACCTCAAGAGACATATTAAGCAGGAGTGCGGCAGGAAGCCGACCTACCAGTGCGTTTACTGCCCCTTCAGATCTTCCTACAAGACCCACATCATCTTGCACGTGCCCGTGCACAGCGCCCAGCTGGACCCCCAAAGACGGACGCAGAAGCTCTCCTTCATTACGACTTATTAGCTCGCGACATTCCCTTTCAGGCTAGCCGATCCAACAAGGACATGCAACTACGTGTCACGTGCATTGGCTCGTCGACGGCGATGCACAAGGATAATTTTAATCCAACGGTGACTCGGCTCTCCGGGAAGATACGCTGATATCGGCCCTCGTTCCATTACCGATAATGGCTTTCTTATATTGGCCCCTGTGCGACTCTAGTTTGCTTTGCCCGTATTATATACTGGAATTATGGAGAACAATATATATATATATATATGATTTTAGATAGGATATATATTTTCTCAGGCTCTTTCTTTACGATCGTCCTATAAATTTAATTGCTATTAGGAATAACTCGACTAACTCGAGTTTAATGAGTCGATCCTTACATTCTCGCACTCGATTGTAGATCGATGTGCTAATATTTATCTGCGCATTAAAAAAAAAAAAAAAGAAAAGAAAAAAAAAAAAAAAAAAAAGAAAAAAAAAAGCTTAGAAGGGAAATATTGATGTTTGTAAAGAAACCTTCTAAGACATTTGGATGTGTTAGAAAACAATAATAGTTTGGTATTCGTTTAAGAAATCGTTTAATTACTTTAGCCGTAGTAATTTCAAATTGTGTACAGGACGATTAAACGATTACGTAGCTCAAATTCGCAATGCTAAAACGTAATTTTACACGTATTGTTGTCGAGGATATCACTATATGTACATCTAAGAATTAAGTTTCAATGCGAATTGTTAACTGAACGTCTTAACTGCAATCATATCCATTTACTAGTCAAGCATAATTATAAATGTTCATTTTAATACTTAATTTCATTAATGTAAGAATGGCTCGCTGATTACGTAAACAATACACACAATACATGGAATAAAATTAAATTCATTCGATCTCGTTTAGTTTTCTTTTTTCATTTATATTTCCCCCTTACGTGCGTTGCTCTCAATCATCTCCCTCAAATTGCAAAAGATCATGTAAATGCCGACAGCAATAGCACGACTAACTCAATACTTAATATGAAAATTATATCTCTTTCATAAAGTATCGAATCTTACTCCTTTCATAACCCCAATCTCGTTAATAAGCACGCGAACGAGCAACCGAATAGAAAAGGCAATTTAACGTCGAGAGCATTAAAATTAGACCGAACTATCCATCAATATCGTTCCCCTCTTGTTGCAGACAAGTTATACCACTACATCAACACGAGCAGCAACGTGTGCGTGACCTGCGGCAAGGCCTACAAGCATAAACATCACCTGAAACGTCATCGGGACTTTGAGTGCGGCGTCGAGCCCAAGTTCAGCTGTGTCTACTGCCCCCACAAAACGCGATACAAGGACAGCCTAATGAAGCATATCCTGGCGAGGCACGAGCGTGTCTGGAACCAGTCTCAGCAGCAGCAGCAGCAGCAGCAGCAGCAGCAGCAACAACAGCAACAGCCACAGACGCAGCCGCAGCCACAGCCACAGCCACAGCCACAGCTACAGCAACAGCCACAGCCACAACCACAGCCACAGCCACAGCCACAGCCACAGCTACAGCAACAGCCACAGCCACAACCACAGCCACAGCCACAGCCACAGCCACAGCTACAGCAACAGCCACAGCCACAACCACAGCCACAGCCACAGCCACAGCCACAGCTACAGCAACAGCCACAGCCACAACCACAGCCACAGCCACAGCCACAGCCACAGCTACAGCAACAGCCACAGCCACAACCACAGCCACAGCCACAGCCACAGCCACAGCTACAGCAACAGCCACAGCCACAACCACAGCCACAGCCACAGCCACAGCCACAGCTACAGCAACAGCCACAGCCACAACCACAGCCACAGCCACAGCCACAGCCACAGCTACAGCAACAGCCACAGCCACAACCACAGCCACAGCCACAGCCACAGCCACAGCTACAGCAACAGCCACAGCCACAACCACAGCCACAGCCACAGCCACAGCCACAGCTACAGCAACAGCCACAGCCACAACCACAGCCACAGCCACAGCCACAGCCACAGCCGCAGCCGCAGCCGCAGCCGCAGCCACAGCAACAGCAACAATCACAGCAACAACAGCAGCAGCAGCAACAACCACAGCAGCAGCAGCAACAACCACAGCCGCAGCAGCAGCAGCCGCAGCCACAGCCGCAGCAGCCGCAACCACAGCAACAACCACAGCCGCAGCAGCCGCAACCGCAATCACAGCAACAACAGCAGCAACACTTTTTCGAAGGAGGCGCACGGGATTTTGATTCGACCATGCAACTACAAATGGGCTCCTTCAGTGGCTACGGCAATGACTATAAGCAAAATTAGTGGCCGATGTTTTTGATTGGGTGTTTATTGGTATTTTCATTGGTAGTCTTGCACTGGTCATGTTAAAGTGAACATTCTTATCAGGACCTATTGACACAGTATTTTAAAAATGCCTTTGGTTATAAGAGAGGCTGTATGGTTTCCAATATATTTAATTTTTATCAGTTTTAGGTTGAAAGACAAAAAGAATAAAAAAAAACTTAAAAATCAAAAAAACCAAAAAAAAAAAAAAATAAATAAAAATAAAAAAAAAACAATAATTATAATTAAAATTGTATAGTAAAACGTGAAGAATTATAAAGTGTACTTTGGAATGCCAGTATATGACATAACAAATGTAGGCAAAACAATATAGACGATAGAAGGTTGTACAGTTAAGGTAATGTAATGCTAAAGAAAAAAAAAAACAATCATGTCACCTATAGTCGTAGAAAAGAAAATATGGCAGACTGAAATACACTAATTGTGTGTGTGTGTATATATATATATATATATATATATATATATAGATAAATATGTGTGCGTGCGTGCGTGTGCGTGTTTATGTGTGTTCAGGTTTATGAATGGGTGTGTGCGTGTGTGCGCGCTTGCGCGTATGTGTAATAAAATATATGTGTGCATATATATATATATATATATATATATATATATATATATATATATATATATATATATATATATATATATATATATATGTATATATATATATATATATGTACATTCCAAAATAACATGCAATCGTATATATTGCAGATTTTATTTATTTATACAATTATCAGAATTATCAACTATGATTGATTTGATTGGGACAAGATGTAGAAGATCACTTGTTCAAGCTCGAAGTATTTATAAAATGCGATGGAATTAGATGTAACGAAGCAGCACAGTCGCGACATTTTACCAAAGCTTCCGCTAAATCGGTACTTGATCGATCATTTTATTGCGTTAAATATTTATCGGTATTAAATTTTATTTACAAATTACATCATATAATCTATTCAGAATAATCATGTTACATTATATTTATAATAAATGAAAAATTTTGCTGATATTCTTTTTATTTGTTAGTTGTAATACATCCAATCAAAAACGGATTACACAGGAGAGAAACACTAAAGTTAAGAGGAGCGAATGACATCGACTATATTTATGAAATTTGAGACTTTATATGAATAGAAGTATTTTCATCGTCCAAAATCGGCAGCGAACAGCAGTTTTATATATGTACATAATATAATGATGAGTCAATTAAACTAAAGATTTGTTTTCTAACAATTGTGTTTATATTAATATTCTTCAACCCTGTAACGCATCAATATATAGTCATTTAATTCCTCCGTACGTTGCTGTAAATAGCAATTAATCTTTTAATCGAAGCACTAAAATTAATTTATTTTTGTACTAATGGCGCTAAGTAATAGTTTGTAATAATAAGATTTTTACAACGTACAACACGTAAGCATACACACAAACAGAAACGCATCTCATCAAACATGGATTTGATGCAACACGGCTTATCTATCTAGGTAATCAATATAATTAAAGGATTTTTTTTTTTTTTGTGGTGAAAAAGAAAGAGACAAGAATTCATATGTTGTGTAATCAGTCGTTGTTCATGAAATGATTTTTGAGCTTTTTAATTCTGTTTAATTCATTTCATCGCTGTCCTGTTAATTTTTTTTTTAACTAGCTTGGCTATGGTCAAATTATTTATTCTTCTATTTTTTTCCTTTTTCTTTATTACAGACAAAGAATCATTTCTATCAGCATACATTAATTATACTAATTGAAAAAAAATAATAATAAAAAAAAGTTTAACAAATTTTAACGCGTAGCGGTTGGGGCGTGGGAGGGGAGGGGCGATATCAATATCATTCTTACAATATCACACGAACTCGGCAACAAATAGTTATTGGCAGTCCTGGTGGTAGCAATGCGCTCTGCCATTCCTCTCAGCAGATCTAACGCATTCCATCAGAACAACCAAATTATATTAAAAAAAAAAAAAAAAAAAAGAAAAAAGAAAAAAAAAATATATATATAGATATATAGAAAAACATTCGAACCCAATCAAATTCCCAAAAAAAAAAAAAAAATTTCCGAGTAAACACAATGAAATTCGGCCCGGAGGTCTGCGTCGAGACTCGGGAAAAGTCATTATCCAAAGCAATCGCCGGAGATATAAAAATGCAGAATCTCGTTAAGCTCGGTAGTGCTGTTCCCGGCATCCCTCGCACGTCCACGACTAACGGCGCTCTCTTCTCTGCTTCTCTGTTCTCAGGGCGTAACTACACCCTCGATCTCTTGCCCTCCTTCCCCAAGGACTTCGGACAGCAGCGACGTTTGCGCTCCAACGAAAGCTCGGCATCCCTCTACGTGTTGAGCGCCCGAGCCTGGAACGCGAAGAAGTACTCGTGCGCCGAGTGCGGCAGGATGTTCGGGGCCCGTGCTTCCCTCGTGCGCCACCGGGTCTACGAGTGCGAGGGCTACCGGCATGATCAGAATCCCGACGAGGACCAGCAGCAGCCCGATAAGAAGGAGAAGCTCGCGCTCCCGAGCGGACGCTCCAAGAGGAAACACGTGTGCGACAAGTGTTACAAAAGCTACGCCTTCTTCACGTCGCTTTGGCGCCACCAGAACTACGAGTGCGGGGTCGAGCCTAGGTTCGGCTGTACCGTATGTCGAGCCAAGTTCGCGCAGAAGAGCAACTTGGTACGGCATGTCAAGACCAGGCACAGCGAGTAGGGGCTAGGCGATATCTCAGGCTACATTATGATTAGAGTAATTGCGCCTTAATCATGATTATTATTGGTCTGCATGACAGATCGGGCAGGTTACTGTTAGGTAATTTAATGGAGGCGGATGCGAGCCCAAATACAATTCGACAATTCGATGAGCGAGAAAGTTTGCTGTAAAAAGGTTAGCGTGAAAAACAATAAGCAATTCTCAAGACTTAATTTGTTTTCGTTTAATTTAATTTAATTTTATTTTATTTTATTTTTTTATTTTTTATTTTTTTTTTTCAAATTGTTTTCATTGCTCACGCAATTGATTTTTCGTTAATTTACTTAATTTCGGTGCGCAAGGAGAATGAAATTTGATTTTTTTATTTTGCTATTTTGTAGCTAAATGTCGATATGGCAATTATTAATTAGACTGGAGTCATTTTGTCACATTAATGACGCTGTTCTATTAATGAAAACCTAGATTCGATCGCGATTAGCTGCTTGCAAATTAAGATAGATTCGAGTCAATCGTTTACTTAGTTTCTAGATATTCCAAAGTATTTAATAAGCTTTTAATTAATTTTACTCAACTCAATTATTGCTCGTTACTTACGAGATGTCAGAGCTGAGATTAACAAAAATTCCTAGTGACCAAAATCTTTTAACCGCAGTGGTAACTAACAAGCAATGAGTTTTAATTGAAATACATTTTATTTAGTGATTACGATATTGGCTAAAAGAACCAAAAGAAACTTTTGTCCCGCGGCTGAGATAATTTAAGTCAAAATTTTCTCGTAAGCGTCACTTCGATTTCTAATTATTATTATTACTATCACTGTTATTATTATTATTATTATTATTATTATTATTATTATTATCATTATTATTACTACTACTATTATTATCATTATTATTACTACTACTATTATTATCATTATTATTACTACTACTATTATTATCATTATTATTACTACTACTATTATTATCATTATTATTACTACTACTATTATTATCATTATTATTACTACTACTATTATTATCATTATTATTACTACTACTATTATTATCATTATTATTACTACTACTATTATTATCATTATTATTACTACTACTATTATTATCATTATTATTACTACTACTATTATTATCATTATTATTACTACTACTATTATTATCATTA